TTGTAGAAATTTTAAAACTTTAATAAAACATTTTAGGACTTTCTAAATATCTCTACATTTCTAACCTTAAAATTTATAACTTTTAAAAACTTTTCTACTTTTACTTGTTACTTGTATGCATTTATAACACATTTTACCCTATGCATAGAGAATCATTTCATAATCAGACTCTGAGAAGTTATTCCTAGATTATATATTGGCAAATTTTGCAATCCAAATTGTACTGCACTTATGCTTTGAAATATTTTTTATATTGTATTTCAATTTCATTTCTATTTATGCCCTTAAAACAATTAGAAGACAAATTCATGTTAGTGTTGTGTGAAGGCACACGGTCTTCTGTGCTCCAACTGAGGACTCTTAGCTTTGGGAGGCTGTGGAGGACTTGACCCGTGTGGCCACCGTGATGGAGGGGCATCCCTGACAAGCTGCTTCCAGCCACGTCAGCTACTGTTTCTTTCCTGACTCTGACAATCAGGAGCAGAGTTGGCTTTTGTATAGTTATGCGTAGCGGCCTCAAGGATTTCTGATTCCATCCTTCTTTTTGAATGAGCAGATCTCCTGTCACACATGAGTGGCTTTTCTGCAGTTACATCTCTTTCCAAAAAGCTTGGCTCAAAGACAAATAATTTGCCAAAATTAGCTTCAGTTTGCAAAAACATCAGCAACAAATATGACTGCAGGCATCTTCCCCAAAGAACTGCTAATTGCTCTGTTGGTTTTATACAAATTCTATTAGCTGTAATTCATTGCTCTACTTACTTTGAAACAGTGCACTTTGGTATAAGCAACTATACTCCTTTCCTAGGATGCAAAGAGTCAAACACTTGTTTATCTTGGGACCAGATGATGCAGTGTATTTAACACATAAAGCATGTTCTCAGGAAACATATTCCAGTGTTTTTAATGTCACAGAGGGTTTCTGAGTGTTGTCTTCTACAGAATGTGACATTTATGTGACCCTGTTAATATCATGGCAACAGCTCCAGAGATTTCACCCAACCTAAACTGGACATTTGCATGACAGAAAAAGGTATTAAATGGCACTTTTGATCCTACAGCAGAAATGGAAAATTATGATAAAATATTAGTCAAACATATTATTGACTTAAACTAGTCTGAATGAAATATATCAGCCTTTTCTCTGATAATGGTAGAAAATATTTCAATAGTAGCTACACAAATGAAAATGTAAAGACTAGTAAAGATTTTTGAGTGTTCTTCTAAAATTTAGC